ATATATATATATATATATATATATATATATATATATATGTTAGTTAGTGTGAATTTTGTAACAACCTATCTTTTCCCTAGCTATATAACTTCTATTTGTTATATTAAATAATTTGTATTCTTATTTTATGAAGACTTATCAATATCTTTGAAGTGATTCTGTATCTAAGTCAAACCCAAACATTAAGTCCCTTAAATTTTTACCTCTATGGAATCCCAAAAGGAAAAAAAAGATAGTTCAGTGTATAAAAATTATTTTGTATTTACACAAAGTTCGAAGAAAGATCACATTTTTACTATAAATAACTTATCACTTAATACGAATATTAGTGACTAACTTCACAACTCGAAAGACGCCAAAAAGAACACTGAAAATAAATGATGTCTTTAACTGAGGCATCACATGTACGTATCTGCTACTGGATAGACATTGTTGCATGTAACAATATAGAATCCAAAGAAGAAAAAAGTAGCTAACAATAGAAAGGACAGCAGAAAGTGACAAGTGTCCCTCCACCTGTTCACATTTAAAGCAACTAAGCATGACACGTATAATTGTAATCTCTACCCTTATTGTCTATATATGTTACACCACCTTTGCATTTCTGTCCTTATATAAATTAACGTTAGAAAGAATAAAGTTAAAGTTTCTGGTTTTTTTCTGTCTAACTTTGCAAATCTGTGGAAGGAAAAAGAATTATTTGGTTATCTACAAGAAAAAATGGCTAGGACTGTGGCAAGGAGTGTTGCAGCTCCATTGTTGTTTCTTAACTTAGTAATGTATTTTATTGTTTTAGGTTTTGCTAGTTGGTGTCTTAACAGGTACATTAATGGCCAAACTAATCATCCTAGTAAGTTATCCTCTCTTCTCTTTCTCTTTACACTTTACAAATAGAGTTTTTACAGAAATAGCCACTTGAATTTATTAAGTTACGTACATTATATACGGTTATACACATATTATATATGGTTATACATGTATTACATATGGTTTATATCAATATTATACATGTATTACATATGTTTTATATTTATATTATACGATTATTTTTAGGTTAAGCAATTAGGTGGGTGATTTAGGTTATTTCTTCCAAAAGATATTGACCAGGTTAATTCTTCTTTAAAATATTGGGTCAAGCTGTTTACTATTGTGAGAAGTTTATTTATTGTTTTTTTTCTAGATGCATGCGTCGATATTTATGTAAGTACAGCAAAATTGAACTTTATAATATATGAAACCTAAAATGAAGGCAAATAAAAAAAAATGATGTCCACACAGTGCTTCAATTTATAGTCCACAATTTGACGGTTGATTTACCGGTATTTTTTACTGTTGATTGTAATTTTGCTTTTCAAAAAAAGAAGATAACAGGAGGGAGTGTCTCACTCTGGTTTTTCCTAAGCATAGAAATTAAAGGACACTTTTTTTTTATTTAAAAGGAATAGTGGCGAAGTCACATGGTAACAAGGGTGGTTGTTGAAAAATTATATTGTGTATATAGTTAAAATATAATATTGAATACCCGGAAATTTTTTTTAGAAAAATTCCTAACTTCGCCACTGAATATTAATATTATATTTTCTTTATTTTGTAGGTTTTGGTGGAAATGGAGCCACGTTGTTCTTTTTAGTGTTCGCGATACTGGCGGCCGTGTTGGGAATAATATCAAAGTTAATGGGTGGAAATCATCTAAGGGTATGGAGAAATGACAGTCTTGCTGCTGCTGGTTCATCAGCTATTGTTGCATGGGCTGTGACTGCTCTAGCTTTTGGGTAATAAAATTTTTATGCCGACTGTTTTATCTTACTTACGACCGTTTTAATTACTTTATAAGTGATCTGATTGTTTATATATATTTTTTAGTTCGTCTATATATAAATGTAAAAAATGGAATTCTTGTATAATTTCGCATGTGAGGGCCTTCTCCAAACCCCGCTTGTGTCTATATACACTAGCCTCCCCATATACCAATATTTGTAGGATTTGTTGTAGTAGTTGTTGTTGTCTTATTCTTATGAATGTAAAATATAACATTTTTGTAGGTTGGCATGCAAAGAGATAAATATAGGAGGATGGAGAGGATGGAGGCTTAGAGTACTTGAAGGATTTGTGATAGTTCTAGGGTTTACTCAACTGCTCTATGTTCTAATGCTTCATGCCGGATGGTTCAGCAGCCGTTACGGTCCCGGCTACCGGGAAACCGAATATGGTGCCGGCGCACCTGCCGGAGAAAAGGGCGCCGCCGCCGCCGTACCTGCAACGGGTGTGTAATAAAGCTCGCTAAGCTACTCTGTAGTGATAGAATGTAAGCAGAATATCTAGTGTCTTTAGGTCTTTACTAGACTATATGTAAATTTCTAAGCTTTTGGTCTTCTATTGGACTGTGAATTATGTGTTTTACATTTGTTATCTACTCTATGTAGAATTAGGAATGTGCTTTTGGGCATTTGGGTATTCTGTTAAGTTGGATTGGCTTGTAACCATGAATTCGTGATATGTTGTATTTTTGTGGAAGGGGAGTGTCTCAATTATAATTTAGAAGAATATTTAGTTTCTTTTGGCACAGTGAACTATAATTTAGAAGAATATTCAGTTTCTTCAAGAAGTCAAGTTGTAATACTCGATGAGATAAATGCATTAGCCGTAAAAAAATTTGTGACATATTATTCGATACGAATATTTTGACATATTGTTTGATAAGAATATTGTGATGTTTAAGGTTGGCATACCTTTCGGGGTTGTCCAGTAGTTTGGAGGGTAGTTATCCATATGGATGATCTGGGATCGAGTTTTCTTCAATGTCTTATTAAGCCCGTCGCACAGTTTACATCCCCTGTGTAGTTTGTAGGTTATTATATAGAGGGAGGTTTATCCAGTGCGCACAAAGTGTTTACCACAGAGTGCTCACCCGAAGGGCAGAAGCTGTGAGTAGAGGCGGTGGGTTTCCCCTCTTTATCAAAAAAAGAAAAAAAATTTGGCACAGATAAATTATAGCAGTCGCGGCAAATCGGAGGGGGGGGGGGGGGGTAATCACTAACCCTGGATATGCTTAGGCATCCTGATCCACCTCTGTTTTCATAGGAGGATTCACGTGGAGGGGCATGTGAACCCATGCCTTCCGGAAGTTCCTTGGAAGGGCGACGTAAGGCTAAGCAATCGATGTCAGTGCGATTGCTGTCCGCCAACTGAGGTCCCCTCCGTACGCTAGACTAGATTGTCAGTGTCGTACGAGAAAACTAATGTCGTGATCAATTGAAAGAGAGAGCAGAAAAGAGAACTGAGAATGAAAGAAAGCTTGATTGCATTGAATGAAAGCTATTACAGAAAAATAACACGGTGTCGGGGGAGAGACACCAGTACAGAGAATTGTTTGCTTGTTTGAAAGTTTGATTGCTTGGTCCCCTTAATAATGCTTAAAAAAAATAAACCAAAGTTACATGACTAGACCTATGAAAGCTGGAAAATCACACTTAAAGAAAATGCAGCAAAATTAATCTATATTTACAATGAAAAGGATTTAGTCTTCTACAAAGCAGAAACAAGTCCGTTGGCAGCAACTTTGTCTTTAGCATCAGGGTCTGCGCGCGCGACATTGTTTACACGCGCGGCGCTGTTGGCATCTACCTGTGGCTGGGTGCTGGCGATGGCTATCGGTGGGGCGACAGTGGTACATGCACGCTTGTCACTTGAAGCTGCCAAGACCACGGGGCCGACCGTGGCGACGGGCGTTGAGAGGCTGGCCAGGATGCCACGGGGCGCGTTCAAGAGGTCATGGGGCATAGTTGGAAAGCCGCCCATGACATTCTCCCCCACCCGAGTTGGCGACGTCCTCGGCGCCTTCCTTGC